AGTTAGTTTCGCACAAATAATTCGTAGGAGAATGGCACAAATCGAATTTTTGCCTTCATAGGTCGACCTCAGAAGCATCATAGGTCCACCTCAGCTAATTTGAAACGAGTCTGAAATGGCCCAAATGCTTTTCAAGCTATAGATCTAAATAAAAAGTCAAAAACTCGTAGCAAAACGTCACAGGTCGACCTCAATATCATCACAGGTCGACCTCAGTCCATAGAACAGAAGAATCATCGATTGAAAGCCAGATGCGATCGACCACGAAGATGAACAGGTCGACCGCATCTGACGAACAGAAGGGAAAATCCCTCTTTTCAATCTTTAGATCTAAATAAAAAGTCAAAAACTCGTAGCAAAACGCCATAGGTCGACCTCAATATCATCACAGGTCAAACTCAGTCCATAGAACAGAAGAAAAAACGATTGAAAGCCAGATGCGGTCGACCACGAAGATGAACAGGTCGACCGCATCTGACGAACAAAAGGGAAAATCCCTCTTTTCCATCTTTAGATCTAAATAAAAAAGTCAAAAACTCGTAGCAAAACATCACAGGTCGACCTCAATATCATCACAGGTCGACCTCAGTCCATAGAACAGAAGAACAAAACGATTGAAAGCCAGATGCGGTCTACCACGAAGATGAACAGGTCGACCGCATCTGACGAACAGAAGGGAAAATCCCTCTTTTCCATCTTTAGATCTAAATAAAAAGTCAAAAACTTGTAGCAAAACGTCACAGGTCGACCTCAATATCATCACAGGTCGACCTCAGTCCATAGAACAGAAGAAAAAATGATTGAAAGCCAGATGCGGTCGACCACGAAGATGAACAGGTCGACCGCATCTGACGAACAGAAGGGAAAATCCCTCTTTTCCATCTTTAGATCTAAATAAAAAGTCAAAAACTCGTAGCAAAACGTCACAGGTCGACCTCAATATCATCACAGGTCGACCTCAGTCCATAGAACAGAAGAAAAAAACGATTGAAAGCGAGATGCGGTCGACCACGAAGATGAACAGGTCGACCGCATCTAACGAACAGAAGGGAAAATCCCTCTTTTCCATCTTTAGATCTAAATAAAAAGTCAAAAACTCGTAGCAAAACGTCACAGGTCGACCTCGATATCATCACAGGTCGACCTTAGTCCATAGAACAGAAGAACAAAACGATTGAAAGCCAGATGCGGTCGACCACGAAGATGAACAGGTCGACCGCATCTGACGAACAGAAGGGAAAATCCCTCTTTTCCATCTTTAGATTTTTTGAAACAATCTAATCTACCAAAGAAGAAGAGAAAAATCGAATCAAATGAAAAGAAGATTGAAAGTTATATCTTGTTCTTTTTCTAAATGATGATGATGAAATGGTATGGAGGTTCCTTTGAGATTTTGGAAAGAAGAAGATGAAGAAGGGAAAGGAGAGGAAGAATGAGTGGATGTGGTGGGATAGACATCTGATTGTGGTGTAGAATGAGTGGGGGAGGGTTTCTTAAATAGAGGATTGGGGGATAGGTTGAGGTGGATGTTGGCAAACAAACCGGTTTGGTAGGCCGAATTAAATACGCGGTCGACCGCGTTATTGGTCAGGTCGACCGTCTATGGTCAGGTCGACCGTTTGTTTTATGAGGTCGACCGTTTTATTGTGTTTGTTTATTTCAACCAACAATCAATTAACTCATAAATTATTAAGATAATTCGAAAAAAAATACAATGCAATCATAGTTATAAAAAAATAAATAAACTCCTAAAAAACAGTAGAAGAAATTTAAGATCCTTTTTTGGGACTTTGTTTCGGGCACTTAGGGCGAGAATGACCATATTTCCCACATTTCGAACACTTTCTTAAACTTTTGCCCGATGCAGCTCGTGCTGACTTGAATGTCCCCTTGGTCTTCCCAATTTTTGGATCTTTCACACTTCGAACGGGTGCTGGAGGGTTTGCCGGTGTAGTGTTGTCCGTTCTCTCCCTCGAGAACTCAATTGCCCATTGAGTAAGGTCATCCAACGTCTTAGAGACATGATTAAAAGCAGCTTCACTACCACACGCGATGTCACACAAACGCTTACACTTTAGAGCCAATCCTCCATGTCTTATCAGGCAACCAACTTTCTCTCCCACATCACCTCCAACTCCAGGATGACGATTTAGTGTCTTCGAATTTTGGGTCCATCGAAGATTGAACCACGAGGAGGGTAGTGCGGTGTATCCCATATTTTTTATTACTGTAAGCATATGTCTGCATGGAAACCCCTTAGATTCAAATAATGCACACTCGCATTGTAGATCTTGATTGGACGTAGTAAATGTTAACCTCCTTATCCGATCTGGGTTCATGTAGTTCTTCAGAATGAATGTCTCTGTCCCATCTGATTCATTTCTTCTCTCCACTAATACATAAGAAGCTTCATTCTCTAGTTCAGACTTGAAGATAGCAAATGTTCGATGTGTGTAGATACTTTCAGCTTGCATTTCCCAAGTGCGAAGGGCATGCTTGCAGACCAACCTCGTGTGCCTAGAAGTATAATCATCCTGCACCTCCGTGAAACGCATCCCCTCCAGTGCTTCATCAATGCCCTGAACAAAACGTTGCAAGCTATATTGCGTTCCCACATACCCATTTATCCAATGGTTACATGAATCACATCGCGAGGTTGATTGGAGTCCACCAAAATAAATATCCTTCAAGTATGCCTCTGCCCACAGTAATTTGTCAGCGTACAAATCCTGCAACCACTTATTTGCAGACAAACCATGCTCACTAATCAAATGCTCCCAACGCCTCTCAAACTCCTCAATCGATATACGTGCTTTTGCCAAGTAAGTGAATGCGCTAACGAACTCCCTATTATGAACGGCCGTTGTCGCATTTGTCTCAATATGCCAAATACATAGACGTGAGGCACTCCAACCAGAACAGTAGCAATGACACCATGCATAGACTTGTCTCCGTCTGTGATCACTGAAGTTGGCATCTTAGAGTTCATACACTCCAGAAAAGTATTCAACAACCAAACATAGTTGGGGATTGTGTCGTTATCCAATTGGGAAAAACCATATATGATGTTACGGTGGTGGTGATTTACACCAACCATCATAACAAATGGTCGATTGTACTTGTTGCGCTTGTAGCATGCATCGAACGCCAAGACATCCCCAAAAAAATGGTAATCTGCTCTAGATGTGGAGTCCGACCAGAAGAGATTGCCTAATTCACCTTCATCGTTGGTTGTGTACTTGAAGAAGCTGCCCGCATCAGAGGTATGTTTACTTTGCAAGTAACCCAATGTTCGGTTAACATCTCCTATTAGATCGTCGTCAACAGTTCGGGATTGCTGAACAGCATTATCCAAATCCTTTGGAGTGTACCCTAGATTCTCATATCCTCCAACTTTATTCTTCATGAACTGAACAATGTTGCGTTGTTTTATTCCTGACTGCCGCATCCCTATCGCCAGAGCCTTGTCTCCTTCACTCACATTTCGATGAGACCGAAGGAATTGAGTTTCCTCTTCATTGCATTAACGATGTGAGTGCTTCCTCTCAAACTTAGAAACAACCCACATTTTCTTATTCCGATCAAAGTGTACAGTATACGTGATAACTTCGTATTTGCACATGTTTTCACCTTTGTTTCCTGACCATTTTAGCTCGAATTTCTTGTTCCTTGACCTATTTTACGCTAGGTTGTGTTGTGTTGGCGTATTTCAGGTACTAGCAAGTAAAGAGGTGCATAGGCGCAAGTTTCGGGTCATTTGGAGGTCGGATTGCGCTTTAAAGGGAAATTTACGGGTAGCCCTTGCACAATTACGGTCGTAATTGTCCCTGGCATGCCCGTAATTTCAATGCCGAGCCTAATTTCCAGAATTCCTGTTGCAGAGTCAATTACGGGCAAGAGTCACTTGAATTACGGTCGTAATTAAGTAATTACTGGCGGTAATTGGAAAATTACGACCGTGAATTCCTTCTTCCGAGTCAAGCGAAATGCGCGTTTTGGGCAATTACGGGCAGACCACAATTACGGTCGTAATTCTGCCCGTAATTCGCCCAAAATCGGGTTTTTGAGGCAGATTCGAGCAAAAACAGAGGGAGTCGACTTTTTGGAGCAAAAACAGAGTTTGAGAGAAAGTGCGAAGAACAAACCCTAGGAGCTATTTGGAGTGGATTTCTCACCATTGAAGCCCAGATTGCGTCCCCAGGAGTGAAGATTGACATCCCAGAGCAGATTTTCCTCATATTTATGAGTATGACTACTCTGATTTCTGTTTTCCTCTCTCTCTCTCTCTCTCTCTATATATATATATATGGAGTAGAACCCTTCTCTCACTTGGGTATGAAGAACCCTAGTTCCATGTGTTAGGAATTTGATTGTAATGACTTGGGATGATTACACTGTTTGGTTTTAATCGAATGATGCATGTTTTATTGAATTGATTGAAGTCTGATCAGCTTTTCTTGATTTCTGCTGCAACCTGAGATAGATAGAATCTGATTAGGTTGTTAGAGCTTCATCATTCGTTAGTAGGAGATTGGCTATACGAGAGTTAGCCAGTTTACTGCTTTGTACTGGAATCCAATTCCAGTAGTGGAGTTCTGTGCTTATTACTTCAGCTTTCTATCCTGGTGAAGATTAGTCGTCTGCCGGGTAGTTAGACTGAGAGGGCTTGGTCAGCTTAAGAGATTCCAAGCTACTGTCGGATCTTCTGCAGTCTAATCAACAGTAAATCAACCCAGGGTAATTACAATTGAGACCTAACTAAGGAGCTAGGGGGACTCATTCCCGAGTGACTCTTTTTTGCTTGAGAAAACCGTACCAATTCCTGCTTTCTTACTGCTTTTGCTTAAAACAACAATCACTTGACTTAGTTGGCTAGATAATAGATAATCACGGAGTAGGCAGTAGATCTAGACCCCAGGTTGATAATAGAACTTGCCACTTTACTGCATTCCCGGACTGCGATTACACTTGGTCGCAGTTTGGTGTTGTGTTTTAGCGTGTCAATACGATGCCTTGCAAGAATGTCTTGTCATCTTACGATGTTGTCGAGTCCGACCTTCTTTATCTTTATGCATCTTCTCTCTAGTCCCCTCTCTCGAACATACCATTGTCCTCCCAATTGCTACTCCTTGACGACTCCTCCGAAGATCTCTACGTCGAACGCTAAATCCTTTCGCTTTAGCATAGGAATCGTAAAATTTCTCTGCATCTTCTAATGTTTGGAAATCCATGGAAGGAATTTGTTGTTCATATTCAGTAGCTTCTTCATCATCCATAAATTCTTCTTCAGCACCCTCGGTTTTCTTATCATCCCCAACCACTTCATCATCCGTATTATCTGTATCATCTGAATTATCCATAGATCCTTCTCGAGCATCCTTAGGTTCCTCATCGAAGTTAACCTCATCATCATCTCTATCATTTGTATCATCTCTGTTATTCATCCTGCAACGATCGGAATGTGAATTTAATGTAAAAAACATACAATATTAGCTCTCGTCAGGTCGACCTGAATGAACTGTACGGTCGAACTTATTACTAAATAACAAAGATGAGGTCGACCTGAATTTACTGTAAGGTCGACCTTATTTTAAAATAACAAAGAAGAGGTCGACAAGAATTTACTGTAAGGTCGACCTAATCATATAATTACACAAATACGGTCGACTTGATGGTGGAGGTGGTCGACCTAATTAGGGAAAAATTTAACCACATACAACCATTAATAAGCACATACGAGACATACCTTAGAAACACGGTCGACCACTTATTGTTACGGTCTACCGGAATAAAAATAAACCGCCACCAACACACGATCACAATAAGAGCGATGAGATTACAAATTCACTCCAACAAATTGCATAAATCGAAGTACGAATAAAGTCTTAAGACTTCCATATATTTATAGAGAATGTAGACGAATTCCTTATCCAATTGGTGAAAGATATATAAAATCATAATTCGAGAAGGACAAGTACACAAAATCCTAATTGTACAAGGACAAGAATCATTACGGTCGACCGCGTTGCACGAATGGTCGACCGTCTTGGGTAAATGTGAAACAGGTCGACCTCTTTACACAAATGGTCGACCGTTGTTTATAAATGTGAAACAGGTCGACCTCTTGACACGAATGGTTGACCGTATTTTATTAAGGCCAAACAGACGAGGTTCCATCCTTATTCCACATGGTTTTTGACTTTGCTACGGTATCATAGGTCGACCTTAAGCGTCACGAGGTCGACCTGTGCTCTGCCTACGGGTTTTCCCGCTTTGAGTATGTGGTCGACCACTTGTTCTAGACGATTGAAATCGTAAATTCATTCGCATCCATAATTGCATAACAAATCTAATAAACGATAAACATTCAAAATCCAAAATGACACAATCTCGCAAATACAAATTCAATGTATTGTCCAAATAATGCAACATTGTAACTTAACGACTTCATTTCTTTGCTTTTTTGTTTGAACTCTGTCTCTCTTTGCCTCGTTCCATGCATTCATCTACTAAATGCTTGAAAATATTTTCTCATGCATGGTTTTCAAAATATGTAGCCAGATACCATAGTATCTCCTTTCGAGCCGGTAATTTGTTTTCTTCTCCTATCTGCATTATGGCATGTATGACTTCGTTACAACTAAAAAAAGTATAAATTAAACAAGTTATTTGTTTGACGAGATACTCACCACTCTATCCAGATCCTTGGATCCATAGCGCATCCACTGCATGACGTGCACACCACACTCGGTACTATTCCTTTGCCCTTGAACGCGTAGCTCTTCAAAATTGAAATCTCCAAAATTTGGTACTGCTACATTGCTCATGCGCTCCGGTTTGAAAATATCATCCAAATTGGACAACTACACACAAATAATGAATATTTTAACCTTCTAGCAAATAATGAATATTTTAAGCTTCTAGCATAATACGATTCGCCTCACTAGTTGAAGGTAGACTGTCAAGCAAAAATGCAGTTTTTTGCTGGACATTGACGAGATACAGAAACCAATGACATGCTTCATCGTCAAGAACTGGCATAAATATCTAGCAACGAAACACTCACTATATGTTATAAACAGCGAATACAAACGAATGCACTTTCGAAATTTAATGATATAGGGACATTGACTAACCTTCTGGCATGCACTAACATTCGGCATAAACACCACACCATCATTCATCAACTTGTTACGAATTTTTCTGGTCTTCATGTTACCGCGTACCATTTTCTGCACCATGGTTTAATTGAGATGAATTGACATGGTACAATATAAATAACTAGGTTATGACAAATAATTTGACATTACGGCTCTTACCGAAAAACATATTTGGCAAATACCACACATTTGGCTCTTTCACATGATGTTTTTCAGACATTGTTAGCAAACCCAGCTATTCTCGCTAATGATCGAACTCAAATAATTTCGTTGCACGTTTTCAGAAAAAAAGTCAACAACGGTCAAACTGCAAAAATCAAAATAACAGAAATGTCAATTCTGATTTGCAACGACCAGGTCGATCTGTTCACAGTCACGGTCGACCTTATTGGACAAACGGTCGACCTCATGACCTAAACGGTCGACCACACATACTAAAAAACGTCTTACTTGTCCCAATTCGTGTCCTCAACCTTCTCTTTAGTAACAACATAATACAAGTCTTCAACTGGATTTTGAAGATTTTTGGTGAATCCTTCTAGACCCTCCACTTTCATGACCTACAAATCATAGTTAAAATTAAAGTAACATATGAACACAAACACACATTATAGATGAATATGTAACGTAAACTTACCCCGTGATTTTCGAAAGGACTCTTAGATTCATCTTCATCGCTATCAGCACTAAATAATCATTTTCTTACAAAATGATCCTTCTGTGGAGTGGTTTAGGAGTCACTTTCATATCGAGGTCTCTTGTACTTAGGAGAGGAACCCTTGCTGCCATTCGTTGTTTCACTCTGTCAAACATATAAACAAAACAAATTAGCACTAATGATAGTAATACTAATATCTTCAATCACATATGAATATACTTGGATACCTTTAAATTGTGCTCTTTCAATAAATCGTCTATGCTCTGGTAGCAATTTTCAGAGTCATCATGGTCTTCCTCCTCTTTACCAAAGTCAAATTTCTTTCCTGTACCATCTCTTCCACCATTCTCCATTCGTTCTGCACTTATATCTTTGATAGCACCTTCTAGCCTCTCAAACCCGTCATGCATCATCCCAGTCATATATGTCCGTCGAACTAACAATTGCTCCACTCTATCACGCATGGACTTCTGAAAGTCATTGACTTGTGTTTGACACACCACCAGCTTCTCTTGTGTGGCTTTCAACAATTTCATGATTTCACCCAAATCTTGATGTAGTCTCTCATCATGCGTCATCGTCTAAACAATTTAAAAAAAAATTCAAATCATAATTCAACTACAAATTTCTACAATTAACCAAAAAACAAAGACGTGGTCGACCTGACAAATTATTAGGTTGACCTGGAAGACAAATAGTGACTACCACAACCATTAAGGTCGACCTCTGTTCTTCCTAGGTCGACCTATCCAGCAGGAAAATAACAATTAACAACAAAAAGGAAGTTAAAAAATAAACCGAAAAAAGGATAGGTCGACCAGATATCTGGCGCAGTCAACCTTTTCAAGCACAACATAGTCATACAAACAAAGCCAAAGTCGACACTCAGGTTGAATAACCAAAACAAAAAGAAACGACCGACCTTGAAACACATTAGGTCGACCAATTGGGTTGATCTTCGTTACCTCGCAAGTATAGAAGTCCAAGTGTTGTGCCCTAAATTCAAATGCGAAGAATCGTCTCGTCAGGTCGACCTGGTTGACGTCAAGGTCGACCGAATGGTATTCTGCACGCAACAATATATCAAATTAGACGGTGGAAATCACGCATTAGAAAAGATGACGACGAATGCTACATTAGGTCGACCTCACCTTAGACCTGGTCGACCACTTCCAACACGTACAAAAGCAACCGCGAACGATCTTCTTCACAAAGGCTCTAAGTCGGAAAAAACCTAATTCAGACTTGGTGGCGTTGAAGGGGACTTATATTCGTATTTATAGAGATTTAGGACGTGAATGTTTCGACCCAATTCGTTTCCTTGTCCAATTGTGGAACCTTTCTGGTGTTGGAATCCATATCCAATACGGATACGGTGTGAAGGCAGTCGACCTCTTTATAATGCAGTCGACCTGTTAGGTGCACAAGGGTCGACCTATGAGGTATTTGGGTCGACCTTTCATTTTGTTAGACCACCAAAGAGGCCGACCATATTATGTAAGAGGTCGACCGCGTCTCGGAACCTAACATACATGAATTAGTCAATTCGGTCGACCGCCTTTTGGATTAGGTCGACCGAAAAGTCCATTTCACGGTGACATGCATGTCACCATAGCAAAATCCTTACAGTTTTAGTACATAAACTTAATAAATCATAATATTTAATGTCTCAGTAATGGACTTCCTTTAATTCCGCTTCTTAGAATGATGCCTGTTGTATGATCTATCAGATTTTTTTATTCTATTCTCGGTGTTTTTTTCAGCGACTGATAGAAAGCGTTGATTCCGCAGTTCTTTCATCAGACTTGGGTACTTTTCTAAAATTATTTTTTTTACACATTAGTCCTAAAAATATTGATGGAAAATTATATTTTAGTACTTAAATTTTTTCTTATATGTTGATACTTGAACTATTTAAATTTTACCAATAAGTCCAATGTTATGAGGTATTTGGTATGCTTTAATGAACTTGTGGTTTGCTTTTAGAAACTTGTGATGTGCATTAATAAACTGGTGGTCTGCTTTAATGAATTAGTGGTGTGCTTTATGAGGTTTCTGGTATGTTTTAAATGACTTGTGATATGTTGACTTGTCGTCTGTATTAGGGGGATTGTGGTATTATTTAATAAACTTGTGGTATCCTTTATGAAACTTGTGGCCCGCTTAATGTGATTTTTGGTCTGCTTCAAGAAACTTGTGATGTGCTTTTATAGATTTGTGGTCTATATTATGAGACTTGTGGTATGCTTTCATAAACTTGTGGTGTTCTTTTATAAACGTGTGGTGAGGTGAAATTGTGGTTTGCTTTCTAGACTTAGTGGTTTTTTGTGGTGTTATTTCTTGAATTTGTTAGTCCAAATGCCGATTTGGTGTTATTTCATTATATTTAGTTTTGTAATTCTACAAATATAATGGATTTTGTACTGTAACATATCCCTTTTTTAATTATACTTTTGCTAACAACTATAAGTTTCGATTTTCACAATGTACTGGGATGAAAATACAAGGTCACCCACTTAGGGTAAACACAAAAATTAGCATTTTTACCTGTAGTGAGCGACGATCATTATGGAGTAACAACCATAATTAATGTTGCCATCCCAAAAGATGCCATTATAAGTAAACTGAAACTGGTCGCAATAATTTTCTTTGGAGCTCTTACAACCATCACATTCTAGACATGAAGCAGCAAGACACCCAATTCCAGCTCGGTCTCCAACCATGAAATTCTCCACTTTCTTACCCACCTTGGTAATTATTCCCATAATCTCATGCCTAACATGCCCATAATCAAACCCCAATAAAATAGTGGAGATTGAAAATTTTAAGCAGTTAATTAGCTTGGTATAGTTAAATACTTCTTCCACTCTTGTGGTTCACATCTTATGGGGGCAGGTTACAGTGAGTAATCACCATGGTTACTAACATACCGTTTGGTATAAATGAATTCCATAAGTTTTGAGGAATTCATTTTGAAATGAATTTTTTTTGTGTTTGGTATATAAAAGAATTCATTTTCAATTCTAAAATTTGAATTCTACGGAATTGGAGCTAGTTATAGCAATTCTGTGGAATTGAGATGGAATTTCCAAATGAATTCCACAAGAATTTACTAATTATAATAAAATTACATAATTATTGATAATTGTTAATTAATTTACTCACCTATATATTAATTTATATTAGTTTGGCGCGTAAACAATTTCGCGCGCATACTTATTCTTCAGCCGGGTATATTAAACCCTATATACATCTCTGTGGTTATAACTAAACCCTATCGGAGACTCCCAATTTACCAAGCTGCCGGCGCAACTCCCTTCTTCTTCAACTCTGTATCAATCACGCCACAAAGAAGGTTAGTTTTATTTATGTGTTTTTCTTTTGCGGTTCTTTGATGGGTATTGTTTCCGTTACATGGTTCAAAGCTCTTATATATCTACCCATAAAGCTGCTGCTAATGAGCTTATAATGAGATTAGGTTTATATATAATATATGTGTTTCCTTTGTCTGTTATTGAGATCACTTTATGTTTTTTTATGTTACTGTCTATTCTTTTGTTATGCTCATACTGTCGACATTCGTGTTTATATGTGTATGTTATAGTTTATATGTTATTATTTTGCATGCAGTATGAGGAACAACGACAAACATTTGATTGGAACGTTAGTAGCATATGCTGGTTATTTGATATTTCTTCTTCGGTTATATCAGTATGTTGAAAAGCCACAACTGGAGTGTAGGGTTCATCGACGAAGTATTAGAAAAGAGCTAATGAATAGAATAGAAACACACAAGAACACTTGTTGAATGATAATAAAAATAGTTCAGTTGAAGAGCAAGTTGCACTATTTCTATATACATTAGCACATAATGTAAGAAATCGCGTAGTTAATTTCTTCTTTAGCTAGAGCGGAGAGACAATCAGTCGTCATTTTCATGGAGTCCTCAAGGCCATATTGTCATTAGAAGCAGAATTTTTGGTTCAACCGAATGGATCTATAGTCCATCCAGAGATATTGGATAGTGAAGGCCGGTTTTATCCATACTTTTAAGGTAAATATATATTAGTAATATTCAATTGATATATGTTAAAAAGTGTAGAATTTTGGTGTACTAACATAATTAGATAGTATAGGATTGTGTTGGTGCTATTGATGGAACCCACGTTCGTGCTAAAGTTTCACAAGAAGAAGCACCAAGATATAGGGGTAGGAAAGGAATCCCCACAATGAACATATTAGCAGCCTGCACATTTGACCTAAAGTTCACCTATGTTTTGGCGGGATGGGAAGGATCAGCTTCTGATTCAAGAATATTGGAGAATGCCTTAACAAGAGATGACAAACTAAAAGTTCCTCCAGGTAGGTGGTAGTGAGAGATAAAAAAAAAGTGCTTGTTCATTTTGTTAATGAGCTAGTACTCTATAAAAAAACACTATTCTTTTGTTTGAATATAGGTAAATTTTACTTGGTTGATGCTGGCTATGCTTTGAAGCCTGGATTTATCACGCCGTACCGAAACACAAGATATCATTTAAAAGAGTATTCTCATTGTCCTCCGGTGAACTCAAAGGAGTTATTCAATCTACGACATGCATCATTGCGTAATGCAATTGAGAGGGCTTTTGGTGTCCTGAAAAAGAGATTTCCCATTATCGCTAGTGGTTCAGAAGCTCATCATGATGTCAACACACGTTCTGAAATTGTGCTTGCTTGTTGTATTTTGCATAACTTTCTTTTGATGTATGATCCCGATGAAGATATTCTTCGTGAGGTTGATAAAGAATTGATGGAAAATAATGTTGAAGAAGAAGATAGTGGATCTGAAAATAGAGAAGCAGATGCTAGGATCGCAGAAAAAATTAGAGACAATATAGCATTCCAGATGTGGAGTCACTATGTTTGAGATGCTAGTCACAAGCTCCTAAATGTGTTTTTCATAGTTCTTGAAGCACTTTTTGTCTTTTACATTGGATATTATTGTCTTTAATAGAAGTTGTTGGATCTACTTAGTTTGTATTTTGTATTTGTTTAATGGTTCAAATAGATGATGGCAGCGGGTGAAGATGAAGTCCAAATTTTGAACACCAATCCTCAAAAGACTGACAAATACCTTAGGTGGCCAAAGGAGATGGATAAACTTCTTTTAGACCTTCTGAAGGAGGAAAAGGCCAAAGGAAATAAGGATGAGAAACAATTTAACAAAGCTGCTTGGACTACTGTCATTGCTAGGCTAAATTTGGGGTTTAAAAAGCATGGTAAAACTATCGATAAGACAAAGGCAGTTAAAGGCTAAAGACTATCCAAAAGCAAATGGGGCTTGCCATTGAGGTCTTAGATAAAAAGAGTGGCTTCGGATGGAATGATACGACCAAAAAAATTGAAGCTGCTCCAAGTGTTTGGGATACTATAATAAAGGTAATGTTTACTTGATTGATGTTTGTACTTAAGAATAATGATGTTTTTTCATTTTTTTCACTTCTTTTGTCAACTGTTTTCTCAGATGAAGCCTGATTTCAATTTGATTCGAGATAAGGAACTTCATTTTTTGGAGAATGCTCGAGAATTATTCGAGAAAGATCGAGCAAATGGAGATGGTGCCATGAGTGCTAAGGAAAATTTTACTAAGTACCACAATGTTGAATCAGAGTTGGGAATTGATGATATTGATAGGATGCTGGCCAACGACGAGATTCACCTTGATCCATTAGTTCCAGAAGCTAGCCAAGTTCCAGGAGTAGCGGTGCCACCAATTAATGTTGAAGTAAAAGCGCGGCCCGGGAAAGAGTCTGCTAGAGGAAGCAAAAGAAAGAGATCTATGTCCAGTACCATTGCTGAAGAGATTATGCAGGTAACATCTTCGATGAAAGAAATTGCTAGTGCCATAAAAAATAGCAATCAACGGATATATGCTGCTACTGAGCTTTCAGCCGAGTTAAAAAAATTGGGGTTAGACAAATGGGAAGTTATGGAGGCACTCGATTTTTTGAAGGACAATGAGCATCTAGTTGAAAGATTCTTTGCTTGTGACGAGGAGATCAAGCTCGCTTGGCTCAAGAGAAAAATGGGTTACAATGAAGATATTTAGAAGATGGAGCTTCAAACTATTTGCTACTTTTTTCGAACTTTTTGTTTTGTCATATTGGTTTGATAATAACTTTATCACTTGCATTTTTTAGAATATGGATTTTCAATGTTTCACATAGATGTGATTCTCCCAGTTTTGATTTGGTTGTATGGGGTTGATCGATCACTATAACATCATAATTGGAATCAAGCAATCAATCATCCAAGTTTTGAAGTTATTAGGGAGATGCAGAACTTATTTAAAATTTTGTTTGGCTCTTTAAAATTGGATTTTTGCAATGGAAACTCCACACATCCATTCACGTATTGCAATAAAGGAACCATGGAATAGTTTTTATTCGTTTACTATCTCATTTGGATTACTGATCCTTCATACCGTGAGCTATTAATTATTTCGATTTAATGGAAATTAATAAGGGCGTAGTTGAAAACTTTTTAATTTAATTCAATTCCGAATGTAACCAAACATGATTGAGAATTCAATTCATTTCATTTCTAAATATTTGAACATGACATACCAAACACAAGAATTCATTTGAAAATGAATTCTACACAGTGATTCATTTTAAAATGAAATGAATTCCCGGTTCATTTGGTACCAAACGGTCTGTAAGGGTAAATTGGGTATGGAAAATAAAATTTTTTAATTAATTTTTTTAATAAATTACATTTTAGGTAGTTACAAAAATCTATTGATTATAATTCTCTCTCCTTCTCTCACTTCCGTAATCTCCAGCTAGATCCTCTTTCCTTATTTTTCTCAATCTTTCTGCAAAATAAAAAAAACATGAAATCACTACCGATCCATTAGACAAACACTACCACTTTGAAAAACATCAATACCATTGCATAAATAAATCTATACCATTACACGAAAACTACCTATATAAACAATCTACCAATATAAATCTATACCATTGCACAAAAAATCAATACCATTGCAGATTTAATCAATACCAATACATGCAAATTAATACATTACATGATTATCAATACCAATTCGACAAAAACAATACCAATAGAACAAAATCAATACCAATGTGACAAAAACAATACCATTGAGACGAGAGGGTCGGAGATAAAAGGATGGCCAACACTGGCGATTGCTATATTTTTCGAACAAAAAAATTGTGCCATTTTTTACTAGTCTATACCATATGGTATTGACTGGTATTGAAATAAGAGCATACATATGGTTTGAAAAGCGTACCATGGTGGTATGAACAAACCAAGACTCTAGGATGGTTGAATACATAATATTAGAAGTATATTAACGGTCATTCACGACTTTTAACATTGTGTACCACAAGATACCACCATGTACCAGGGTGGTATTGTATGGTATTGTGTGGTATTTTTTGGTCCTGTAATTTGTTCACCCAGAAATTTATAGATCCAATAGATCATGATGAACTCGTCCCTTCTGTGCAAACGTTTTCAAAAATGAATTAAAAACGAAGAAAATACCATATGATATGCAGTTGGAACCGAGAGGTAAGAATTTTTTTTTTCTAAAAACATATTGAAAATTGATCTTATTTTGTAGAGCACGATGAACTCGTCCCATCTGTGCAAAAAATAAAAAAATTAGAATCCGAGTTAAAACGGAAAATATATGAGTCGATTAAGAAAGCTAGGAAAAATAAAAATGGTCTTTAATTGTAACATCCCGTTACGACAAAACCCATATTTCGATCGCTAGAAAGTTTCACGATTTAAAATCGAGCATTTCGACACTATTTCGGCGAAAATCGGATTATCGATCGATCGGATAAGTATACGTATTAATTAAATATATATATATATATATATATATATATATATATATATATATATATATATATTTAATTACACTAAGCGGCCACCAAGAGATAGCCACTTTAGTATTTATATATGAAAGCCCCTGTCCATTTCCATCTTCTTCCTTTTCGTAAAAAGGAACCGAGGGATAGTTTGAGCAGAGGGCGCGCAGGGGAGGTAACAGAAAAATTCTCCGAGCTCAAATCTTGAGCCCTAGTGATCCAAAAATCCCGTAAGTAATGCCTAATTCATCTATTCATCGTGATTTATCGATTTAGAGCTTTAAAACGAGTTTTTGGTTCAGGAATTTCTTGAATTCCCGATAAGCCAAATTAGGGTTTCGGAGTATCCGGAAGTCGGTTTGAGCCCAAATTTCATATACGAGCTTCCTGCCGCGAGGTAATCAATCCCCTAGTTCTAATCCCTGAATTTCGGCAATTATTTAGGCCGGGGTCCAAACCGCTGAATTTAGCTCCGGCCAGGGTTTGATGTGTTTTTATCGAGAATTTGACCCGGAGCCCAGAACTAATATTGACGGGGATACTGCAGGGGATATAAGGACGGTCTCGGATTTTAATTTGGGGTTTGTTCGTGAAATTGACGTTTTAGTACGGGAGGCTAGAACCGGTGTTTGAACGACCAGAACTGGTGAGGGATTAGCACGGCATACCGGGTTTGTCGTATCACGATAATTATATTGATGCTTAGAATTGACCTAGGTGAACTAGAATGGCATGATTAGGGGTGTATGGACTTTTGTGCTATATGATGAACCCTGGACTGCTGTATGATATTATTGACTTGCCCTAATGGATATGAACCTTGTTTATGTGGATGATTGCATACATGTTGCCATTTGTGGCTTAACTGTTGATATGACTTCATGGTTGTTCGATAAGGGATTTTGACATGGTGTGATATTATGGTTGTATTTGGATCCATAAGTGGGGGGAATAAACTTCCCAAGGTGATATTATGATGTTTTAAGGAGGATGACTTGCACGAGGGTTTATCCCGAGGAAGTGCAATTATACGACTCCTGGTTTACCTATGTTGAGCCAATTATGGTCAGGTCAAGTACATGTGTAAGTAACGAATTACGATTAAGCAAGATGAGATACGAATCATGTACAAGGATACCAAATATGAGTGTTGTGGTCTCACGGTCAACTACATAGTAATTAGGGCTCCCTATGCTATTACTCTATTATGATATGTATGATAGTCACACCTCTCATGTGGTGGTGACTGAAGAATTCTTACGAGATATGACCACACCCAGAGCGGTGTCGGGGTATGACTACACCCATAGTGGTGTGGGGTATGTATGACCACATCCGACGGGATGTTGGGGTATGTATGACTACATCCGACGGGATGTGGGGTATGTTTCCCGGGAGAGTTATTAGCATGGGAGTAGCCAGGCGCCTTTATTAAAACATGATAAGATGCATATGCATAAGTCAAGGTGGTTGAGTCTTTTGCCTATTGGGATGTCGGAGGGCTGAGATCCGATCCTAGTGTTTTGGCTTGTTTGCTAGATGTATGGTAGGGGTATGCTCTGTTATGAACTCACGATGCTATGATTATCTCACTCAGCTATGAGCTGACCCTCTTTTATTCTTCTTCTCTGCTTATGCTATGTGTAAGCAGATCATCATCAGCAGCAGTAGATAGGTGTATAGGTGGGAGCTGAGCAAGAGTTGAAGGCAAGATGAGGTATGGTCTTCAACCATTCTGTGCTTGGACTACTACTCGGGATTTTGGCCAGTGATCCACACCTTTTTGTAAAAATGTTTTGAGAACGTTTTTCATGTGCATACTAGCTTCTGATCTAGTGTGAGATATCCACAGGTGTGGAAAGTTAATGATATGTGTATATGTTGTGTAACTGTGTAAGTTGTGACGATTATGGTATGTATAAGTATGGTATGCAGTTAGGAAGTATGAAAAGTGTGACTATGGCTAAGAAAAGCCAATGCATATGGTTGTGAGTATATATGTTTGTGATGAATTATTTTGCAGGTTAAGTTGCAAGAACTGTTAGCCCATTACGCGAGTAATTCATGTCGAAATTTTATTTAGGTAAATTTTGATAATTAATGTAACACCCGAGATTATTTCCGCTGCAATTGTATGAACAATATGATTAGGCAAAACGTATAGGGTAGGGTGTTACATTAATTCTCCATCCTTAGATCTGGATTTTCTAAATGAAGGGTCCAGATTTGATTATTGATGAGTGCGGGTTATACACCATATCTTGAGCCCTAAAAAACTAGTATTCATCCTAATGCATTCCCATTTTATGAACCATAGTTGTTATAGTCTGGCTCAAATTCGCTTTCTAGCAATAAGATAATCAACTCTGCATACTTCATAATTTTATATACCTACCCGGGAACAATAGGATACACGGTTAGTTTTTTTGTTAAAACCAATCATTTGAAAGGCTAATGGAAGTAGTTAATTAAGCTTCTGAGGAGTTTAGGGAAGAAAACAGAGCTTTTAGTGAAATATATAGGAAATAATTCTAGAGAGAGTAAGGGTCGGGAAAACTGACCGGCGTTTGAAAGTGTAAGGAGCTATATCGCCCGAGGAATCGCGAGCTGCCCAGTCGGCAACCGTCCGAGTGTGTTTCGACGTCGTTTGGGCCATCGATAATTAGTGTTTTCAAATGAGAAAACTTGCGTTGAATGAGAACTAAATGCACCTTGACTTCTTTGGACAACGATCACTAAACACGGTTCACACCTCTTCAAACACAGTTCGAAGGAGGGTGTTCGATGTTTACACGACTCTCGAGACAGATCTACTTTAAGTTACTCCAACTCCTATGAAGGTTCTGAGAGAGCTCTAGATCTACGACTACTAATAAAAATTGCAGAGGAAAGATAAACTTGACAAGTGGTGTCAAATGGTGATTTTTGAGACCCCTTCCTCTGTCAACTCCTCCTCCTATTTATAGGCTTGAGATGATAACCGTCGTAGAAAACTGTCCTAGAGTAACTTTCATAAAGAACTGCTATGCTTCTTTCTCGAACATGGCTGACGTGTCATTGTACGTGGGATAATCGGCAGTTGCTCTGTTAACTACTTGCTCTTTATCTTGGAACTGTCATCTTGTTACTAGTCTCTCCCACATGGCTTGCTTTCTTACTTCCAACTTGTTAGTTCAGATCCTGGACATGGTCTAGACTCACCGATGTGGTCTAGATCTCGCGACCACGTCGGGCTCTAATTTTGATGCCAACGTGGTCTAGATCTCGTGACTACGTCGAGCTCTAAACTTGACGCCAACGCGGTCTACATCTCACGACCACGTCGGGCTCTAAATTTGATGCCAACGCGGTCTAGATCCCATGACCACGTCGGGCTCTAAACTTGAAGCCAACGCGGTCTAGATCTCACGACCACGTCGGGCTCCAGTTTTGATGCCAACGCGGTCTAGATCTCGCGACCACGTCGGGCTACCCAACTCGCGATGGGACTAGCTCCTTCTTGGAGACTTATAAAGAAAGTTAATGCCTTGTAAATAATCAATGTGGTACAAGATTATTTTTTGGGTGTAAACAATTAGACTGTGAATCTTGGGCAGAGAGGAAATTTGGGATCTGATGGGATGGAATTAAGGTTGGGGACGCTTTTGAGTTTGGGTTTATATGGTGGCAAACTTTATTATTTATATTTTTTTGATATATTTTTTTTTCTTATTCTATTTTTTGCTTTCATGAATTAATATTAATTACTATCCTTTCAATAGAAAAACATAAACCATTGTTCTGAAATGGTATGGTTAAACACTATCATCATTGACTTGAAGCGTGACAATTCTCCAAAAAGATGATAATTTAGACTTTGCACATTTTATATGATTTGTTAGACTTGTTTTGAATGGGTAATATATGTTTAATCAAAAGAATATATAATGGTGGAGTTTTATAGGATTTTCAGTGTTCAAATTTTCCTGGCCTCCCCTTAATTTCCGGAAAGGCTAAATTACACGTTTGGTCACTCAAATTACGGTAATCTTTCACGTTTGCCACCCGAATTACTTTTCTTTCTTATTCACCACTAACTTTACAAAACGTTACACCGTTAGTCACCGGCCGTTAGTCTCCGTCCGAGTCTGTTAACTTCGTTAATTTTTTGATGACGTGGCAAACAGAAATGCTGACTGTACCGTTAACTGTTTCGTTTGAGGATAAGTGCCACGGTGCCAGGTGAAAGATCGCATGGTTACTCCCCTGCCGATGCCGTCTTTTCTGTGGGTGCGGTGGCGACGAAGTAGCTAGTAAAACTCGTTAGCAGCGTCCTGTGAGACGAATAGTTGGCCGACGAAGGGCATGAAATTCACCAAGGTATGGTAGGAGAGTATTGTGTCGTCGTCCTCGTGTGTCTCCACCCCCATTGCGCCCGTATCGTCTTGAGAAAAGCTGTTTCTTTCTCCGGTGACTCCATCTAGCTCGTCACCTCCGATATTTCTTCGGGAGAGGAAAAATCTAGATGACAATCTCACTTACTCCATTAAAAATAGGCAATTCCGGTCCAAAATCGAACACACCAGCTCAATGCTCGTCAAATTCGACAAGATTGGTTCAATTGAAAACCCTAGAAATCAGAGTGAATCTGCCATTGACGGAGCAAGCAACTCGATCGACTGGACGAGAAACATAAACAAATTTCAAGATTCTGTCAGGAACCGGAGTTTCAACTGGAAACAAGAGAAAGTTACGGAGGATTGTGCTCGAATGTATCTTAGACACCAAGCTCCGGCGAGGAGGCGACGGACGTATCCATTGGGAACTCGCCTAAGTTTTGTCTAATTATTTTTTTTTAATTTTTAGTTTTTTTTAAATGAAAATGTCATAAGTTAACTTTCAGTCAGCATTTTTGTTTGCCACGTCATCAAAAAACTAACGGAGTTAACGAAATCTGACGGAGACTAACGGCCGGTGACTAACGTTGTAACATTTTGTAAAGTTAGTGGCGAATAAGAAAGAAAAATAATTTGGGTGACAAAGGTGAAAGATTTATGTAATTTGAGTGACTAAACATGTAATTTAGCCTTTCCGGAAGGGTATATTAGTTCATCTCAATCTCATAATTTTCTGTTTCCCGCCCAAATGATACTGTTAATTTAATCTAACTCATGTCCCAGCCGACGAGATAACTATTTAGTTGGGCCAGCTATAAAGCCCCCACTACTGAACTTATTTATGGGGAGATAAACCAGCCGTAATTACATTAACTTTTTGTTTTTGTTTTTTTTTACCTTTCATTTGTAATTTCTGCCCACGTGGTCCTCAATGTATTCCGGCTAACTGGCTGGGTCCAAACTAGTATGTAAGGATGAGATTGATACGAGTATTCTTCTTCACTCGATCCATTATAATTCTTCTCATGTTTACCCTACTTATCAAAACTATAAATAATTTTACTCAATTCACTTAGAAATTTAGTTTTTGGTATTAAACGAAAAGAAAGAAATTTAGTTTTGGTTGAAATAGTAGCCAAGTAACCGTGGATTGATGCCTTTTCAAAGAAAAGGCTTCGTAATTAACATGGGGAAAAAGTCGATTGCTGAGGTCAAGTATCTTCATGGGGAGAAATATAATCGGTCGAAGACTTAAAGTTTGTGGACAACAATTGTGTGGACATTTCATAGGAGTTTCAAATACTTACCATAGAAATTGTAAGGAAGCTGCAGACAACGACTTTGTTATTGTAACACTAGAAACCAAAAGGAAAAATTACGATACTATATCAAATTGATTGATTTTGTTTATAAAAGTACTCATAAATAAAATATTATTAATTATAAAAAAAATAATGGCCTTATATCACTGATCATCACATCATGATTTCAATAGTGAAATTTTTTAACAAGGCTTGTAACATGCACAATAGACAATAAAATAACACAATCCAATGGTTGGTTGTCCGTAAGTCTCTTTACATAGAGAGTCACAGTTTAAAGCTTCACACCCCAAAGTTCCTTGTTTAGCAGGAGGGATAAGCCCGACCTTGCACACTTTTTTATTTGTCTGCTCTCCCATCACTTCCTTCTGAACTGTATATTATAATCATTGCAAAAACAAAACAAAAAAGATTATCAACTCGTTAATTATCCATCTCTAATTGACTATCAATAAAAAAAACATATTAGTGTTAGTGTAACAAGGAAATTAAAATCTAAATTCATGTAGCATTACATGAGCTATTTGTGTATGGTACGACTTACGGTAATACAATTTATAAATTTAAATTTGGTGGATAATTCATATCCTTATTATATAGACGGGGAATCTTGGGTTTTTAAGGGTCGTATAAAATTTCATTTGCCAATTTCATGAACCAATATAACTAGAAAATAGAAATGCAGCTGAAAGTAAAATTTTGGCGAACCAATACAATTCATTTATCGACGATAAAATGATAAATAAAGTGAATAATTATGCTAGACCGAAATAGTTAAAAATTACCAGCAATGAGAAGGAGTATTAGTAGAGGAAGAACGAGAATTCTAGACGATGACCCTTTCATGGTTGATTAGTGTAATTTATTTATTTATCTTTTTTTTTTGTGTAGGAGTAATGTATTCTTCTTTGAGCAAAGCAATTGTATCGTGTTTCTTAAGTTGAGATTGGTTTTGGACAGTAACATTCAGATATTTATAAGAAGTTATAAGTGAGAGAAAAATTGATTCTTGGAAAGGATAAGGTTGAATTTATTAAAAAAATATATGATTTCTTAGTTTTTTATCTTATCAATATGAAAGGCTTTTTCTCTTTTGGAGGAATTATTATATGGTTAAATATATATTAGGATAGTAAATCGTTGGAATAAAATAAAAAATCCATTTTTATGGCAATCTAAATCTAGCAAAAGTGGTTCAAAAATTTGAACTTCCATATGTTATTAACTCTTGCATTACTAATAAGATATATACAAAGTTTATAACACTTGACTAGTTTTTTGCCCGCCCATTGGGCGGGACGCTTTATTTGGTATTTTTATATTGTGTTGTATTGTTATATTCTTTCTTATTTGTTTTTGGGTGTATAAAGTGGTACTTGTTCTACTATTAGCACATTCGTTACGTTTGAAACATGAGTCATAGTATTTCTAAATTGAGATTTTAGAACTCGTATTATATAGATTGTGGTTACGTGTTGTTGTTGTTTGTTTTCTTTTGCACACAGATTAGTGTTTTTTTCTTTTTTGTTGGTCGTGATGTCGTGAATTTAATTATGCGATCTTGGTTTTTTTTTTGTCGATCTTGGTTTTATTGGCGCTCTAATTTAGTAATTTAAGTATTATAAATTATGAAATAAGTACCCTCGACACAGAAAATGAAGCTCTCTCGTTTAGAGAGAGTCTAAGGCGGCGGAAACCCTAGGGTTTTATCGGTGTCAACTTCCCTCGTTGAAGAAGGAATTTGTTTCCGTTCTGAATCAGTTTTGCGATACAAGTGTAGTGAGCATCCTCTATTTAAGGAGAGAAGACTTTGCACTCGATTGACCGCTTTGTGTGAAGAGCAATAGTTTGTGCGAGAGAAAAACCCTAGTGCAAGAAACCCTTAGGTTTTTGTACAAGCCAGCAGAACAGAAAGTGTTGTCCTGTTTCAGGGGTGACGAGATTGATTTGTTACAGTATGGAGGCCAGAAAAGAAGCTATCGAAGACATTGCCACGAGTAAGGAACGACAGACAACCATGGAGCTAGAAAATCAGTTAAATCAGATAACTCTGGACGATGAAGATGATGAACCATTGGAGGTAGAGGACTCGGATGTTGATCTGCGCATGGAAGCAGTGCGTAGGTTGGGGCTGATCGGACGCCTGTTAGCTGAAAAAGAACCTAACACGAAGTCAATGAAAATTGCATTGTCAAAAGCCTGGAAGCTGAAAAAGGGTTTCCAGATCACGGAACTTGGGGGCATGCTGTTTGCCTTTCAATTTCTGGACATGGATGATATGAATAAGATATGTTATGGGGGCCCTTGGCATTATGAGAATTCACTTATAGTGTTTAAGGCGAGCACAACGATTCAAAAGCATAAACCAGATATGTGGATAAGGGTTGAGGGTTTACCAGCTGAATTGAGGACCCAGAAGATGGCTTAGAAAATTGCATCGCACCTTGAGGGGCTTGACTGGTTTGATAATGGTGCGGGAACAATGTGAGATGATTACATGCGCTTGAGAGTGTACCTGCCGATACACAACCCCCTGAAAAAGAAATCCACCGAATTGACTCGTAACAAGACTTTTGGGCTCATAGCATCATTTTCTTTTTAGTTTGTGAATTACGTCGTTTTTCGATTTTCCCCTTCACCACCCTATTTTTCCACCTATTACCATTTATATTTTTTATTTTGGCCAATTTCGTAACTTTGATGCATAGTTGAGGCTATGATGTTACCGATCGAAAAGATTGGTTATAATGTTTAATTTGTGAAAAGTTTGGGTCATACAAATATATTTATCTATTATTTTACTATCACATAACCAATAAAGTAACAAATCTATCACACTTCCCAATATACTTTTTCTTCCCACTTTTCCTCCATAAAACAACATTATCCCTCCTTTCTAAATTTTCTCTTCCCTCCTTTTCTCTCCCCTTTAAATTTTCTCTCCCCTCCATTTTCCTTCTCTCCGTCGGAAACAGAGTGTTAAAGGCGTGAATACAGTGATTCCCGCACACAACAATGGAGTTGCAGCATCCATCGGAAGGTTGTCCGGCGCATGCACTACATACCTTTTTTTTTATCTGGCAGTCACGACTTATGTGTAAGTAACAGTTCAAAAAATAATGGATTTATATGTTTTTATCATCTTAACGTATGAGAATTTATGTTTATTCTTGTGTAAATTAGTGTCGTCGTTTGCTTATTCCAGACAACCTCTCTAATATCTACTTCGATAGTTAAATAAAAAGATTAATACAAAATAAAAAATCCTCATATCTAAATGGAACATTTAACTCCAACATCCAAAAGTGTACTTTTGAATCCAACAAATAACATAAATATCTAAGCAATTCATAATTTGAATCCAACAAATAATATCCACATGCAACTTTCAAATTCAAGAAACAAATCAATTGTTTTTGTTAATTAAACTCACCAAAACAACGCCATTTTGTTTATAAGTAAAAAAAATTGATCAAGCCAGCTAAACCGAGGGCATTCAAGACAGTTTTGTAACCGGTTCCTGTTGCATGGCGACCACCAGCATGATAACTATGGTTAGGAATTAATTTCTTTTACAGGAAAGGAAAGAACACAAAATCCAAATCTATGAAGTCCTACAAAATTACATTATATGACCATGCAATAAATCTAATGGCCAATTAAAACACACTGACAAAGAAGAGTATTAAGATGGGCGGCCTGGTAATTTTTCTCTTCCCTTTTTATAGGCTTAAAATACTGTAAGTTTTACTTACGTATGAGTAACTAAATATGGACCTTTAGATTTAAGTGGACCACAAATATAGATCTACGGGTTGTGAATTAAATGTATTTTATTTTCCCTAGTTTTCTTAGTCGACTTTTATCTTCTTCGTTCTAGTTCAGATTTCAATTTTTTTTGCATAGATGAAACGAGTTCTTGTGTTCTACAAAATGAGATCAATTTAAAAAAAAATTGAGAATTTTTTTCATAGCTCCCGTTACCAACTCCATACCAAATGGTAACTTTTTCGTTTTTAAGTCATTTTTGAAATTATTTGCTCAGAATGAATGAGTTCATCATGATCTATTGGTTCTACAAATTTCTGGGTGAAAAAAATACAGGACTAAAAACTATCATACTTTACCACTCTGGTATGGGGGTGGTAACTTGTGGTAAACAATGATGAAAGTCGTAAATAACGGTTAGTATACTCCTACTATCATGTATTCAACCTTCATACAGTCTTGGTATGTTCATACCATCAAGGTACGCTTTCTTACCATATGGTTTGCTCCTATTTAATACCATATGGTATTGGCTGGTAAAAATTACCTCAATTTTTTTTGTTCTGAAAATATATCAAAGTGTATATCATTTTAAAGAGCACAATTAATCTGATTTATCTGTGCAAAAAAATTTAAATTCTAACTTAAAACGAGAGAGAAATCATCTATTAAAAATTAAAGGGAAAAATATAAAAGGCTTTCCATAAGGGAGAGGGATGCTGATGTGGACGGGTTACTCATCCTAAGGTTACTGACCTGATCCGCTCCCCTTTTTATATGCTTGGTTTATAGCCTGTTACGGATCGAGAGGAGATAGGGTGGTGTTAGAAACAATATTAACTCTTTTTAATAACGTTATTATGGTAACTGCTCTTCCCCCTTCCCCTACGTTCCTTGGAGTTTTACATACAAATTACAGTTTTAGTACATAACCTTAATAAATCTTAATATTTAATGTCTCAGTAATGGACTTCCTTTAATTCCGCTCCTTAGAATGATGCATGTTGTATGATCTATCAGATTTTTTTATTCTATTCTCGGTGCTGTTTTTCAACGAATGATAGAAAGCGTTGATTCCGCGGTTCCTTCATCAGATTTGGGTGCTTTTCTAAAATTATTTTTTTTACACATTAGTACTAAAAATATTGATGGAAAATTATATTTTAGTACTTAAATTTTTTTCTTATATGTTGACTTGTCGTCTGTATTAGGGGGGATTGTGGTATTCTTTAATAAACTTGTGGTATCCTTTATGAAACTTGTGACCTTCTTAATGTGACTTTTGGTATGCTTCAAGAGACTTGTGATGTGCTTTTATAGATTTGTGGTCTATATTATGAGACTTGTGGTATGCTTTCATAAACTTGTGGCGTTCTTTTATAAATTTGTGGTGTGGTGAAATTGTGGTTTGCTTTCTAGACTTAGTGGTCTTTTGTGGTGTTATTTCTTGAATTTGTCAGCCCAAATGCCGATTTGGTGTTATTTCATTATATTTAGTTTTGTAATTCTACAAATATAATGGATTTTTTACTGTAACATATCCCCTTTTTTAATTATACTTTTGCTAACAACGATAAGTTTCGATTTTCGCAATGTACTGGGATGAAAATACAAGGTCACCCACTTAGGGTAAACATAAAAATTAGCATTTTTACCTGTAGTCAGCGACGATCATTATGGAGTAACCACCATAATTAATGTTGCCATCCCAAAAGATGCCATTATAAGTAAACTGAAACTGGTCGCAATAATTTTCTTTGGAGCTCTTACAACCATCACATTCCAGACATGAAGCAGCAAGACACCCAATTCCAGCTCGGTCTCCAACCTTGAAATTCTCCACTTTCTTACCCACCTTGGTAATTATTCCCGTAATCTCATGCCTAACATGCCCATAATCAAACCCCAATCAAATAGTGGAGATTGAAAATTTTAAGCAGTTAAATACCTCTTCCACTCTTGTGGTTCACATCTTATGGGGACAGGTTACAGTGAGTAATCACCATGGTTACTAAGGGTAAATTGGGTATGGAAAATAATTTTTTTTTAATAAATTAAATTTTAGGTAGTTACAAAAATCTATTAATTATAATTCTCTCTCTTTCTCTTTCTCTCACTTCTGTAATCTCCAGCTAGATCCTCTTTCCTTATTTTCTCAATCTTTCTGCAAAATAAAAAAAAACATGAAATCACTACCAATCCATTAGACAAACACTACCACTTTGAAAAACATCAATACCATTGCATAAATAATTTACCTATATAAACAATCTACCAATATAAATCTATACCATTTCACAAAAAATCAATACAATTGCATATTTAATCAATACCAATACATGCAAATTAATACCATTACATGATAATCAATACCAATGCGACAAAAACAATACCAATACAACAAAATCAATACCAATGTGACAAAAACAATACCATTGAGACGAGAGGGTCGGAGATAAAAGGATGACCAACACTGGCGATTGCTTTCACGACCTCGGCGATCCCATCGGCTCCTTCTGGCTGTTAGAGAGAGAGAGAGAGAGAGAGAGAGAGAGAGAGAGAGAGAGAGAGAGAGAGAGAGAGAAGGGAGAAGGGAGGGTCGTGGGATGGTAGATGGGGTGGGGAGTGAGGGAGGGTGAGGGAGAGGCAGCCCCGGCGGGAGAGGAGGGTGAGGTGGGAGGCGCCCAGCGGGAGGGGAGGTGGGAAGGAGGTGAGGGTAGACGTAGATTTGGGGAAGGTAAGTTATAAATATAGGTAATAATCTTGTGTGATATTATTTTGATTCCCAAACTATCCTTAATTTAATCAAGACCGTCATTTTAAAAAAAAAGGAAAAAATAGAGCTAATGAACGGTTTAGATGTAGATAGCCTTGATGGTTATTAAAAAACGGGAACGGATCAGGTTAGTAACTTTGTGGTGAGTAACAATGAGTAACCCATCCACATCACCATGACATCAGCATCTCTCTCTCTCTCTCTCTCTCTCTCTCCTGGAAAGCTTTTAATTTTCCCCTCCTTAATCTTTGACGGACGATTTCTCACTCGTTTTAAGTCAAAATTTAAATTTATTGCACAGTTAGATCAGATTAATTGTGCTCCTGAAAATGATATCCATTTTGATATATTTTTCGAACAAAAAATTATGCCATTTTTTACCAGTCTATACCATATGGTATTGACTGGTATTGAAATAAGAGCATACATATGGTTTGAAAAGCGTACCATGGTGGTATGAACAAACCAAGACTCTAGGATGGTTGAATACATAATAATAGAAGTATATTAACGGTCATTTACGACTTTTAACATTGTGTACCACAAGATACCACCCTGTACCAGTGTGGTATTGTATGGTATTGTGTGGTATTTTTTGGTCCTGTAATTTATTCACCCAAAAATTTGTAGATCCAATAGATCAAGATGAACTCGTCCCTTATGTGCAAACATTTTTAAAAACGAATTAAAAACGAAGAAAATACCATATGATATGCGGTTGGTACCGAGAGGTCAGAATTTTTTTCCTAAAAAAATATTGAAAATTGATCTTATTTTGTAGAGCACGATGAACTCGTTCCATCTGTGCAAAAAAAATTAAAATCCGAGTTAAAACGGAAAATATATGAGTCGATTAAGAAAGCTAGGAAAAATAAAAATGGTCTTTAATTCTCAATCCTTAGATCTGGATTTTCTAAATGAAAGGTCCAGATTAGATTATTAATGAGTGCGGGTTATGCACCCTATCTTGAGCCCTAAAAAACTAGTATTCATCCTAATGCATTCCCATTTTATGAACCATAGTTGTTATAGTCTGGCTCAAATTCGCTTTCTAGCAATAAGATAATTTGTTATAGTCTGGCTCAAATTCGCTTTCTAGCAATAAGATAATCAACTCTGCATACTTCATAATTTTATATACCTACCCGGGAACAATAGGATACACGGTTAGTTTTTTTTGTTAAAACCAATCATTTGAAAGGCTAATGGAAGTAGTTAATTGAGCATCTGAGGAGTTTAGGGAAGAAAACAGAGCTTTTAGTGAAATATATAGAAAATAATTATAGAGAGAGTAAGGGTCGGGAAAACTGACTGGCGTTTGAAAGTGTAAGTAGCTATCTCGCACGAGGAATCGCGAGCTGCCCAATCGGGAACCGTCTGAGTGTGGTTCGGCGTCGTTTGGGCCATCGATAATTAGTGTTTTCCGGTGAGAAAACTTGCGTTGAATGAGAACTAGATGCACCTTGTCTTCTTTGGACAACGATCACGAAACACGGTTCACACCTCTTCAAACACAGTTCGAAGGAGGGTGTTCGATGTTTACACGACTCTTGAGACAGATCTACATTAAGTTACTCTTACTCCTATGGAGGTTCTGAGAGAGCTCCAGATCTACGACTACCAATGGAAATTGCAGAGGAAAGATAAACTTGACAAGTGGTGTCAAATGGTAATTTTTGCGACCCCTTCCTTTGTCAACTCCTCCTCCTATTTATAGGCTTGAGATGATAACCGTCGTAGAAAACTGTCCTAGAGTAACTTTCAAAAAGAACTGCTCCGCTTCTTTCTCGGACATGGCTGACGGGTCATTGTACATGGGATAATCGGTAGTTGTTCTGTTAACTGCTTGCTCTTTATCTTGGAACTGTCATCTTGTTACTTGTCTCTCCCACATGGCTTGCTTTCTTACTTCCAACTTGTTAGTTCAGATCTTGGACATGGTCTAGTCTCACCGATGTGGTCTAGATCTCGCGACCACGTCGGGCTCTAAATTAGACGCCAACGCGGTCTAGATCTCAAGACCACTTCGGGCTCTAATTTTGATGCCAACGCGGTCTAGATCTCGTGACTACGTCGGGCTCTAAACTTGACGCAAACGCGGTCTACATCTCACGACCACGTCGAGATCTAAATTTGAAGCCAACGCGGTCTAGATCTCGTGACCACGTCAGGCTCTAAACTTGACGCCAACGCGGTCTAGATCTCACGACCACGTCGGGCTACCCAACTCGCGATGGGACTAACTCCTTCTTGAAGACTTATAAAGACAGTTAATGCCTTGTAAATAATCAATGTGGTACAAGATTATTTTTTGGGTGTAAACAATTAGACTGTGAATCTTGGGAAGAGAGGAAATTTGGGATCTGATGGGATGGAATTAAGGTTGGGGACGCTTTTGAGTTTGGGCTTATATGGTGGCAAACTTTATTATTTATATTTTTTTGAAATAATTTTTTTTCTTATTCTATTTTTTCCTTTCATGAATTAATATTAATTACTATCCTTTCAATAGAAAAACATAAACCATTGTTCTGAAATGGTATGGTAATACACTATCATCATTGACTTGCAGCGTGACAATTCTCAATTCTCCCAAAAGATGATAATTTAGACTTTGCACATTTTATATGATTTGTTAGACTTGTTTTGAATGGGTAATATATGTTTAATCAAAAGAATATATAATGTTGGAGTTTTATAGGATTTCCAGTATTCAAATTTTCCTGGCCTCCCCTTAATTTCCAGAAGGGCTAAATTACACGTTTGGTCACTCAAATTACATAAATCTTTCACGTTTGCTACCCGAATTACTTTTCTTTCTTATTCACCACTAACTTTACAAAATGTTACACCGTTAGTCACCGGCCGTTAGTCTCCGTCCGAGTCTGTTAACTTCGTTAATTTTTTGATGACGTGGCAAACAGAAATTCTGACTGTACCGTTAACTTATGACAGATCCATTTAAAAAATTAAAAATTAAAAAAGGTAATTAAACAAAATAGTAGAGGAGTGGCCCACCATCCCCTCCCTCGTCTTCTTCCCTTTACCTATCCTCAGGCGGAACAAAGAGAGCAGCAAGGAATCCTGGGTTGTGGTTCCGCTGCATTTTCCCTCCGCCTCCTCTACCGCCACTCTCCTCTAAGTGTTTCGTTTGAGGATAAGTGCCACGGTGCCAGGTGAAAGATCGTGTGATTACTCCCCTGCCGATGCCGTCTTTTCTGTGGGTGCGGTGGCGACGAAGTAGCAGTAAAACTCGTTAGCAGCGTCCTGTAAGACGAATAGCTAGCCGACAAAGGGCATGAAATTCACCAAGGTCTGGTAGGAGAGTATTGTGTCGTCGTCCTCGTGTGTCTCCTCCCCCATTGCGCCTGTATCGTCTTGAGACAAGTCGGTTTCTTTCTCCGATGACTCCATCTAGCTCGTCGCCTCCGATATTTCTTCGGGAGAGGAAAAATCCAGATGACAATCTCACTTACTCCATTAAAAATCGGCAATTCTGGTCCAAAATCGAACACACGAGCTCAATGCTCGTCAAATTCGACAAGATTGGTTCAATCGAAAACCCTAGAAATCTGAGTGAATCTGCCATTGACGGAGCAAGCAACTCGATCGACTGGACGAGAAACATAAACAAATTTCAAGATTCTGTCAGGAACCGGAGTTTCAACTGGAAACAAGAGAAAGTTACGGAGGATTGTGCTCGACTGTATCTTAGACACCAAGCTCCGGCGAGGAGGCGACAGACGTATCCATTGGGAACTCGCCTAAGTTTTGTCTAATTATTTTTTTTTAATTTTTTTTAAATGAAAATGTCACAAGTTATCTTACAGTCAGCATTTTTGTTTGCCACGTCATCAAAAAACTAACGGAGTTAACGGAATCTGACGGAGACTAATGGCCGGTGACTAACGATGTAACGTTTTGTAAAGTTAGTGGCGAATAAGAGAGAAAAATAATTTGGGTGGCAAACGTGAAAGATTTATGTAATTTGAGTGACTTAACATGTAATTTAGCCTTTCCGGAAGGGTATATTAGTTCATCTCAATATCTTAATTTTCTGTTTCCCGCCCAAATGATACTGGTTAATTTAATCTAACTCATGTCCCAGCCCACGAGATAACTATTTAGTTGGGCCAGCTATAAAGCCCAAAGCACCCGAAATCCAACTACTGCACGTATTTATGTGGAGATAAACCAGCCGTAATTACATTAACTTTTTGTTTTTGTTTTTTTACCTTTCATTTGTAATTTCTGCCCACGTGGTCCTAAATGTATTCCGGCCAACTGGCCGGGTCGAAGCTAGTATGTAAGGATGAGATTGATACGAGTATTCTTCTTCACCCGATCCATCATAGTTCTTCTCATGTTTACCCTACTTATCAAAATTATAAATAATTTTACTCAATTCACTTAGAAATTTAGTTTTTGGTATTCAACGAAAAGAAAGAAATTTCGTTTTGGTTGAAATAGTAGCCAAGTAACCGTGGATGGATGCCTTTTCGAAGAAACAACATCGTAATTAGCATGGGGAAAAAGTCGATTGCTGAGGTCAAGTATCTTCATGGGGAGAAATATAATCGGTCGGAGACTTAAAGTTTGTGGACATCAATTGTGTGGACATTTCATAGGAGTTTCAAATACTTACCATAGAAATTGTAAGGAAGCTGCAGACAACGACTTTGTAATTGTAACACTAGAAACCAAAAGGAAAAATTACGAAAGTATATCAAATTGATTGATTTTGTTTATAAAAGAACTCATAAATCAAATATTATTAATTATAAAAAAATATAATGGCCTTATATAACTGATCATCACATCATGATTTCAATAGTGAAATTTTTTAACAAGGCTTGTAACATGCACAATAGACAATAAAATAACACAATCCAATGGTTGGTTGTCCGTAAGTCTCTTTACATAGAGAGTCACAGTTTAAAGCTTCACACCCCAAAGTTCCTTGTTTAGCAGGAGGGATAAGCCCGACCTTGCACACTTTTTTATTTATCTGCTCTCCCATCACTTCCTTCTGAACTGTATATTATAATCATTGCAAAAACAAAACAAAAAAGATTATCAACTCGTTAATTAGCCATCTCTAATTGACTATCAATAAAAAAAACATATTAGTGTTAGTGTAACAAGGAAATTAAAATCTAAATTCATGTAGCATTACATGAGCTATTTGTGTATGGTACGACTTACGGTAATACAACTTATAAATTTAAATTCGGTGGATAATTCATATCCTTATTATATAAACGGGGAATCTTAGGTTTTTAAGGGTCGTATAAAATTTCATTTGCCAATTCCATGAACCAATATAACTAGAAAATAGAAATGCACCTGAAAGTAAAATTTTGGCGAACCAATACAACTCATTTATCGACGATAAAATGATAAATAAAATGAATAATTATGCTAGACCGAAATAGTTAAAAATTACCAGCAATGAGAAGGAGTATTAGTAGAGGAAGAACGAAAATTCTAGACGATGACCCTTTCATGGTTGATTATTGTAAAAATATTTTTTGTGTAGGAGTAATGTATTCTTTGAGCAAAGCAATTGTATCATGTTTCTTAAGATGAGATTGGTTTTGGACAGTAACATTCAGATATTTATAAGAAGTTGTAAGTGAGAGAAACATTGATTCTTGGAAAGGATAAGGTTGAATTTATTAAAAAAAATATATCATTTCTTAGTTTTTTTATCTTATCAATATGAAAGGCTTTTTCTCTTTTGGTAGAATTATTATATGGTTAAATATATATTAGGATAGTAAATCGTTGGAATAAAATAAAAATCTGTTTTTATGGCAATCTAAATCTAGCAAAAGTGGTTCAAAAATTTGTAACTTCCATATGTTCTTTAACTCTTGCATTACTAATAAGATAGATACAAAGTTTATAACACTTAACTAGTTTTTTGCCCGCTCATTGGGCGGGACGCTTTATTTGGTATTTTTATATTGTGTTGTATTGTTATATTCTTTCTTATTTGTTTTTGGGTGTATAAAATGGTAGTTGTTGTACTATTAGCACATTCGTTACGTTTGAAACATGAGTCATAGTATTTCTAAATTGAGATTTTAGAACTCGTATTATATAGATTTTGGTTACGTGTTGTTGTTGTTTGTATTCTTTTGCGCACAGATTAGTGTTTTTTTCTTTTTTGTTGGTCGTGATGTCGTGAATTTAATTAGCGATCTTGTGTTTTTTTGTCGATCTTGGTTTTGTTGGCGCTCTAATTTAGTAATTTAAGTATTATAAATTATGAAAAAGTACCCTCGACACAGAGAATGAAGCTCTCTCGTTTAGAGAGAGTCTAAGGCGGCGGAAACCCTAGGGTTTTATCGGTGTCAACTTCCCTCGTTGAAGAAGGATTTTGTTTCCGTTCTGAATCAATTTTGCGATACAAGTGTAGTGAGCATCCCCTATTTAAGGAGAGAAGACTTTGCACTCGATTGACCGCTTTGTGTGAAGAGCAATAGTTTGTGCGAGAGAAAAACCCTAGTGCAAGAAACCCTTAGGTTTTTGTACAAGCCAGCAGAACAGAAAGTGTTGTCCTGTTTCAGGGGCGACGGGATTGATTTGTTACAGTATGGAGGCCAGAAAAGAAGCTATCCAAGACACTGCCACGAGTAAGGAACGACAGAAAACCATGGAGCTAGAAAATCAGTTAAATCAGATAACTCTGGAGGATGAAGATGATGAACCATTGGAGGTAGAGGACTCGGATGTTGATCTGCGCATGGAAGCAGTGCGTAGGTTGGGGCTGATCGGACGCCTGTTAGCTGAAAAAGAACCTAACATGAAGTCAATGAAAATTGCATTGTCAAAAGCCTGGAAGCTGAAAAAGGGTTTCCAGATCACGGAACTTGGGGACATGCTGTTTGCTTTTCAATTTCTGGACATGGATGATAGGAATAAGGTATGTTATGGGGGCCCTCGGCATTATGAGAATTCACTTATAGTGTTTAAGGCAAGCACAACGATTGAAAAGCATAAACCAGAAGATCAACATATGATTGATCTGGGGATAAGGGTTGAGGGTTTACCAGCTGAATTGAGGACCCAGAAGATGGTTGAGAAAATTGCATCGCACTTTGAGGGGCTTGACTGGTTTGATAATGGTGCGGGAACAATGTGGGATGATTACATACGCTTGAGAGTGTACCTGTCGATAAACAACCCCCCAAAAAATAAAATCAAATTGAATATCTCGGGTCAGTTGGTTGAATATCCAATAAAGTACGAAAAGCTACCAATGTTCTGCTACTCTTGTGGGCTAATTGGGCACTCTAAACTGAGTTGCAAACTTGAGCCAAAGTCTGAAAAAGACCCATTTGGGTATACACTGAGAGTGGCAGCTCAGGGTCACAAAAAATGGCTCTCATATACTGCAAAGAAGGAGGATGCTGAGGTGTGGGCTGCTCTTAAACAAAAATTTGAAAGGGAAAGCATAGGGTCCAACTTTGACCATGATATGGTATTAGAGATGGAAGAAGCTAAACAGATGGAAGAGGATACACCAGAACAACAAAAGAATAGCGGGGAGATACAAACTCAGGAGGTTCCCAAAACAGAACAGGCACAAGAACCTATTGTAGCACAACAGAAAGAGCTACAGGCTTCCCAAAAGCCAGAATCAAGGGATCAAATGCATAATGGGGCTCTACGAAAATTTGTGATGGACAGTACAGAAGAAAAGAGGACTGGGAGGAATAATGCCCGAGTCTGGAGAAGACAGGAGCAAGTGAAACCGAAACTAGATGCTAGGGTCCAAATAACCCCTAAAAAAGACAGGCTGAAGTTCGAGAAGAGGGGGAGATGGTAGAGGGACACACAACTGAGGTTGTGAAGAAGGCCAGAACTCTAACCTTTGCTGGTCTGGAGGATTAGGAACTGGAGATAACAATAACAAAACTATGAATGGCGATGTGGCGGAGCCTGCAACAAAGCAAGCCCTAGCAGGCTCCGCCCAGCTCAATGAGTTATTTGAGCTATAATTGCCGGGGTTTGGGGAGTCCCCTGGAAATTAAAAAATTGGATCGATTGATCCAAAGAGAAAACCCCAAAGTGGTCTTCCCGATGGAGACAAAAAATAAAGGAAGATGAATGGCAAGAGGTGGTGACTAAATTTCAAGGATACAAAGGCTATGGGGTGGGATCAGTGCGCAGAGCAGGTGGCCTCCTTGTCTTGTGGCAAGAGGACATTCAGGTGGAAGTGAAAGGAAGTGATACGAATTATATTGATATGAAAATAGTGGAAGATGACAAGACCTGGTGTTTTACTGGAGTATATGGTTGGTCTGAACAGGGGAAGAAACATCAGACTTGGGAATTACTAAGGTATCTAAAGGCGCTGACTGATGTGCCTTGGTTGTGTTGTGGAGATTTTAATCTCATCCAACACTATGCAGAGAAGAGAGGTAAACAATTAGCAAATGGCTATGAGATGAATGGCTTCAACAAAGCTCTTGAGGATTACCAACTACAGGATCTTAGTTTCTATGGTAAACCTTACACATGGGACAACAATCACAAAGATGAGACGTTCTTGGAGGAGAGATTGGATAGGATGGTGGAAATAGAGTCATGGAGGAGATTATACCCTGATGCTGGGGTATATCATCTTAGACGCCGTGGTTCAGACCACAACCCTATCCTACTGAAAACGAATGTGTTAGTGGAGGATGTGAAGTGGGGTTACTATTTTAAATTTGAGGCTTACTGGCAAGATCATGAGGACTGTAAGCAGGCCATTAAAGATGGATGGGAGGTGGAGGGACAAAGCTCTGTGGCGGGGAGAATTAGAATGTGTGAGGAAAACCTGCAAAACTGGAGCAAACAGACTTTTGGTAGCCTGAGAACCCGAAGAGTTAAAACTGAGAAAGCACTGGAAAAGATTGACAAGATGAGAAAAAATGAGGCAATACTGGCACAACAACGGGTGCTAGAGAATGAACTTGAAGAGATTTTGCTTCAAGAAGAGTTGATCTAGAAGCAAAGATCAATAATTGACTAGCTCAAGCACGGGGACAAAAACACTAAGTTTTTTCATCGAAGAGCTTCAGACAGGCGAATAAAAAACATGATCAAAAAATTAAAGGATGAGGATGGAAGGATCTATACAGATCAGGAGGATATAGCGAGATGTATTGTTAACTTCTATAAGAAGTACTATACTTCTGACAGGAGATCTGGATCCAGTTCAGTGATAAAAGCAGTCCCACAAAAGGTTACAACTGCTATGAATGACAAGCTGCTAAAACCTTTTACAAGGGAGGAAATTTGGGAGGCATTAAAGGTTATGGGACCGCTATCAGCTCCTGGAGCTGATGGTATGCCTTCCCTCCTTTTCAGAAGAATTGGGATATATTGGGAGAGGTAATCACTACTAAGCTACAGGGTTATTTGGAAGAGGGAAGTTTACCACATGAACTGAACAATACCCTGATAGCACTCATTCCTAAGAAGAAACACCCCCAAACCCCGGTGGAATTTCGTCCTATTAGCCTCTGCAAAGTTCTATACAAAATTATATCGAAGGTTCTGGCTAATAGGCTCAAAGGTGTGCTAAACCAGGTGATAGTGCCAAAACAGAGTGCGTTTGTCCCAGGGAGGCTCATTACTGATAATGTCATAATAGCCTTTGAGTGTTTTCACTCTATGAAGAATAAGAAGTTTGGTAACAAAGGATTCATGGCGGCTAAGTTGGATATCACTAAAGCCTATGACAGGGTTGAATGAGATTTTTTGGAGGCAATCATGTTGAAATTGGGTTTTCATCAAAGATGGGTTCAAATGATCATGACCTGTGTGACGACTGTTTCTTTCTCTACTTTGGTGAATGGGCACCAGACATAGTGTTTCTATCCTAGTAGGGGATTAAGACAGGGTGATCCAATATCCCCCTATCTTTTTCTGTTTGTGTTGGAAGGGCTATCAGCCCTAATTACTAAAGCAGAAAGGGAAAGGCAGATTGAAGGGATAAGGGTGAAGAGGCAAGCACCACAGATTTCTCACCTTTTATTTGCTGATGACATCATCCTTTTTCTGTGGGAAACTAAATCAGAATGTGAGAAAGTGAAAGCCATCTTAAGCTTATATGAGGCTGAATCTGGCCAGCAGGTCAATCTCCATAAATATGAATTATCCTTTAGCCCTAATGTCAGGCAGGGGAGAAGGAAAGAGCTCGCAGACTTACTAAACATGAAGGCGGTGGACTACCATAAAAAATATCTAGGCCTTCCTACAATCATTGGCCGATCAAAGAAGCAGGCTTTTAGCTACTTAGTTGATCGAGTTAGAGCAAAAGTGAAAACGTGGAAAGGAAAGCTACTATCTGTAGCAGGGAAAGAAGTGTTGATTAAGGTTGTGGCACAGGCACAGATGACATATGCCATGTCAGCTTTTCAAGTACCTCCCAGCATCCTGAAGGAAGCCAAACGAGCGGTAGCTCATTTCTAGTGGGGGCAACAGGAGGAGGATGGGAAGACACATTAACTTAATTAGAAAGAACTCTGCAAACCAAAGAAGCTGGGGGGAATGGGCTTTAAAAACCTTCAGAGCAAGGTGTCAACCCGC